CCCTCGTCCCTCTCTCCATCTCTCTCCCTCTCTCTCATACACACATGCAAATGAGCGGCGAGGCGTAGCTTTTCCGGTGTGCATTGCTGGCTGCCTATTGTTCAGGCGCATCAACAGGGACACAATGCGCGTAAACAAAACCGTCGCCGCTGTGGTGGCAGCGCCGCCCGCCGCTGGCCCACCGTTGGCCCGCCGTTGGCCCGCCGCTGCGGTAGCAGCGCTGCTACCTTTGGGTGGGCCGAGAGTTGAGCCCTCAGGGCCCAGGACCCACCACCTACCCCTTCCACACACGCACACGCGTGGAATTATACGACAAAGTGGGAATCGTCGTGTATTCCAAATACACTCAGCCCGGCATATACTTTTGTCCTAAAGAGGTTCCCCGAAAATCAAAAAGGTACCATAATTTCGCTTTGCAATCTTGGTACCTTCGGTCGACAGGGGATTCCAGCCCCTCCAACAGCCACCCTTTAGCAGCCCCTCCGTGCATCCAGGGCGCCGCAGCCTCTGCCCGGCAGAGGGGAAGGAAAAAAAGGGAGGGGAAAAGGGAAATGTGTCAGTAAAAATTTCAGGCACAATCTCACCATTTGTCTTAAAGTGTGTGCTATAAATCGCGCCGGCTTAGGACGGGCGGCAATACCTCACCCCGTTACTCAGATCCACCCTCCCCCCCGTGCCCCTCCCGCCCTGTTGGGCCCCAATCCTATAGCGTTATGTGCCTTTCTCGCCAAGCTCCACTATCGCCCCCCCCCCCACACACACACATCGGAAGCCGGTCGAGATGGATACAGAAGCAGATGTGGAAGATGACGTGCCTGCTGGACACTCCGGCATCACCTCACCAATCGCATCGTCACCGGCGTCACCAGCCGATCATCTGGGGTTTTATCCCTGTGTAAAACACAGCATACGAGTTGCAGCGACGAGTTTATGAGCCAGAGGACACCAAAACCTCAAAAGATAATTTTCAGGAGAGAAGGCTAGAAGAAGATAACCCGAACAGGAGACAGTCCGGCGGCAAGAGCAGTGAGATGAAGAGGGCAGCGCTCTTCCGGTTCGTCATGCCCTTCTTCTCACCATCTATCCTGAAATGATGATTGCCAAAGGGTGCAGGAAGCATGCATTATACACACAGATGTCCCTGCTATGAAGGTCGAAGACGGACTACCCCTCGCGTAACAGGCTTTGCGAACCGGTCGTCGCGGAGACAGGGCGACGCGTGCTACAGCTTGGCGACGACGCGCCGGCCGCTGCTCTGAACTCTTTATCTCTCATCAACAATATTGCTAGAACAGTATACGCTATCGGGACAATTGTAGGTGGGGGCGTTGGGGGGTAGGGGAGGGGGTAGCCTCGGCCCTGGCGCGGAGCAGGGCCTGCAGGGCGCACGGCGCGAGTGACACACGGCCGGCCCGTAAATCTAGACCAGTGTTTTCGTCGCGGGCCCGCTACGCCTTGGCTAGACGCAGCCGGGTGTCGCTGCCGCTTGTCGGAGAAAGGAAGAAGAAAAGTTGGAGAGGCCGGATGAGGCAGAGGCGTGGTCGGGGAGGAAGAAGAAGGGGGAGAAAGAACTTTTTCCGAAAAAGAAAGATTTCCGCTCGAGGATGAGAAATTTACTTCACCGTCATTTTTCGCGACATGCGGATAAGCCCGGCAAATGGTGAATGACATGAAAAATCAAATTACACCTGCTTTAGTAAAGAGCTGTCATATCTTAAAGTAAAAACAGCATCCTACTGCATCGCTAAATTTTATAATTAGCTAAACGCGGCTAAACGGATCAAAAGGGCTCTAAGACAACATCACGACGTCAATCGTGCCAAGAAACTAAATCCGCCTTTTTGAATTCCGGTTTAGAGGCCACCGGAGGCCACCGGAGGCCACCGAACACACCCTCAAACCAGATTCAGCAAATTCTTAAACTCAGACCAGTGATAGGGGCAGCGCGGTACAGTAGCACCAGCAACCTCAGGCCGCAAAAAGTGCGACGCGAGATGAATACCATAGACACGTCCCGGTTTGGCCCTGTTGAAAATTTGATGTTTATGGTGGCAGCATGACGGATAGGCGTCCGCGGGCGCACCGACGCCAGCGCTGCCACTCGGCCCGACGGGCAAACAAGGAAGCTCACTGGTGGACTTTGTACAGGGTCGTTGCATGGAGCGAGGGAGCGGGTTCGAGCAGCATCACAAGTACGCATTGATTTCTGAACATTTTCTCATTTGATGTTGCCCTTACGCAGCTCCCCCCGACCTCCTTGAGGGCCCACCTCGCGCACAGCCCCCGCTGCTGCAGCGCCCCCTGGCGGGCCCCCAGCGCAGCCTCTCTATCTCGGCTCCCTCCTGAAATTACTCTTGCGAGTCTGAAATCTCATGACTCACAAACAGGGCCGTACGGATGGCCCCCCAGCGGTGGCCGCTGCTGTAGACCGAGTCGGGGAGCATCAGCGGCGGCGGTGGCGGCAGCAGCGGCGGCGGCATGGCGCACATTTCTCTCCCGGCGGCAGTCCTTCACCCCCGTCCGCCTTCGTATTTCCATTTTTGGCGTCCGTCGCGAGCGGCGGAAGAGCGCACTAGCGTCCGGGGGAGACGAAAAAGGGGGGGGGGCACAAATTGCATGCGAGCACTACAGGGCATGGAGCGCAAAGTACCACCGCTGCACCACCCAAGTGACGGAACAGAGACCCCGGCCGAGCTGGAGCACAGCATGGTCACCTGTGCGAGTCAGGAGCCAGCGCGCCACCACATTAGGCGTATACATAACAGGGACTTCCCCGCCGACGTGAGACGGACGGCGAGGGCGGGTGCGGCGGCCACCACCACACCCCCGCCACGCACCGCCACGCCCTCGCCACAAGGCGCCCGCCCCGCCCCGACACAAGACGGATTAGGTAACTTGTAAGGCGGCAGCACTGCCGACTCGCCGGCCCTGCGGGGGATGCTTCACCCTCCTTCATCCCTCACACCCCCTCCCACCCCCCTTTACACACACACACACACACACACACACACACACACACACATATTCCATTCGCAAACTCCTACCCGTTGAACTGTCGCCTCTCGTCCCTGTCCGGGAATGTCCAATATGTGAACTTAAAAACGAAACCGTTTACTACTGTAGAGTGTTTATACCGGCTTACAATACAAATTTGAGGATCTTTAATTCGCTGTTAGCTC